TAATTTTGCTGAACTATTTTAACTGCTTATTCTTTATTATAGGAAATGACTCTGTGGGCTGGGGAAAGCAACGGGAAATACGAGTGACTTTAAACAAAGACTGACAAATTGGAGTTTAAAATGAGTGCTTCTTTCAGTGATTGAATGAGTCTAACTCCAAAAGCTAAGCTTTCTTCTAATACCTAAGGACAATCACCCAGGAACTGCGATGGTAACACAGAGAACAGTCCTCAAAGTGGAACTAAGATCCTTGGCTTTAGATATCAAAGTGAACATGGAGGGTACCTAGTCCAAACCCCTCTTTTGCACACGGAGGAACTGAGATTTGACGTACAACACCTAGACAATAATAGCTGAGATGAATTTGAACCCAAGGCTTCACACTTTATCACTAATGTCTTTTCCTTTTTTTTCTCATAGAATTACTCTCAGAAATTTCTCTCAATAAATTCATCATCTGTTCTAGTCTCTGAATCAAAAATAAATGAACTTTTCTGTGATAAGGTGAGTGAAGAAAGACTCAGCTGAGGCACAGGAAGGAAACTTGAAAGAGCAGAGGATGTAATAATGGAAATGTCTATATCACTTCAAGGTATACCAAGCATTTTCGTCCAGTAAGCTTAGAAAGTCAGCAAGGGAATTGGATTTATTCTTCTCTCACGCAATGAAATGATACTAGTGTTACAAATATAACAGCACAGATACAAAGATCATGGAAAGAAAGGGTAGTGTTTTCTTCTCATGGGAAATGAATAAAGATTTGGAAGATAATTCTGAGAAACAACTGGATATACTTAGCCAAGAGTTATAGGGGTTGAAATGACTCACATTGCTGTCTTAAATAACATTTTTATAGTCAGTATCTTAGAAAGGACAGAACACCTGAGGGGGATATAGAGGCAGCAAAGGGCCCAGGCAGATTCTTGAGCAATCAGAGGAAGACTACCATGGGATGGTCCCACCAGATCAGGGCTACATGAACCCACCAAAGGGAATGGAGGTTGTTTGCACTAATACATATAATACTTACATGTACTGAAGAAAGATAGATTGGGAGACTGAGGCTGGTTGAATCATACATCAAAAGTTACAAAATTTTAGAGTTTAGAATGAATCTCAAGGCCATTTAGTTGAACCTTCAACCTAAATGGACTAACTTATACAACATTCCCAAGAAATAATTCTCCAGTCTTTGCTTGAAGACCTTCAAGTCAGTAAGAGACTATTATCTACCTTCCAAAGCAGCCCATTCCACCTGGGAACAGCTGCACTTGTTACAAAGTCATTTGGGTGTTGGCTTGGTTTAGTCTGTTCTGGGGAAGCTTTTTCCCCACTCAGATTAAATTGAATTCTGTCTTTCTTAAATACATATCCTTTCATTGATCTTTTCTTAGCTCCCTAGGGGGCCAAGCAGAAAGAATCTAATCCTCCTTTCACACCACAGACATTCAAATTTTTGAAGGCAGAAATGACATCCACCAAATCAAGTCTTTCCATCATCGTGTTAAATACCCCCATTCCTTCAATTGATTCTCAAGTGACCTACAGTCCCAACTGCCCTCCTCTGAAGGCTTGTCTCTGGCTTATCCTCTGGCTTGCCAATTCCAGGGGTGCTGGCACATTTACATGAGATAATGGCTGCACCTTGGACTTTGTAAACCTTAAAGCTCTATGCAAGTGTCAGGTTGTTGTCGTTGTTGTGGTTGTCATCCTACAGTCAGCAGGCCTCCAGAGCCATGATGACTTCACTCTCTGAAGCTCCTACTGTACTCCTGTTGAGCCCAGTGTTTATAGAGTAATAGAGCAGTGTGCTGGTATACGCGTTACAACCTGACTCTCAAGAAACAAACAAACAACAGAAAAAAATCAACACACATTTTTAAGTTAAATCTGCATTCCTGACACTATCTTAAGTCTAGACAATAAAAACAAAACAAAACAATGAATCAAAGCCTGATTTACAGTGACTGGAAGGGGCAGTTAGGTGGTACAGTGGATAGAGCTCCGGTCTTGGAGTCAGGAGGACCTGAGTTCAAATGTGACCTCAGGCACTTGATACTTACTAGCTGTGTGACCAGGGAAAGTCACTTAACCCCGATTGCTTCACCAAAAAGCAAAATAACAATAATAATAATAATATAGTGACTGGGAATTTCCAAAGTGCAAATGCTCACAATAAAAATTTAACAATCAGCTCTCAATTGCTGACTCTGGCACAACCTTGGCCAATTCCCTTCCTAACACATAACCACCAGGACTAACCACAAGGCTCCAGGTATGGTCCGACCAGTACAATATATATGGGCTCTCATTTTAGATTTTATACATCTCAACGCAGCTTAGAATAACAACAGTTTTGGGATGATGTTGACTCATACTGAACCAACTGTCCACTCAGATCCACATATTTTTTTTAAATTTCTTACTGGATAAAAGAAAGCATGAGATGAGATATGGAGGAGTATAACCAAAACAAAGCCAGGAGAAGCTGGTAGGATGGTATGAGTAAGGGTATGGAAAGTAAAATGTTGGGTCTTGGTTCTTTCTCCTAATTGTTTATTGGAATCATTTTGCAAACTCTCATTCCTTCCCGACATGGAAGAAAACTTTACTCTTATCTTTGGCTTTTGTATCTGAGGGGTTCCATTATTTTTATTTGAAGTCCATTTCTTCTGGGGAGAGAATAATAAACAGAGCTCCCTCACAGACACCACAGGCTTGCTGATGGAAATCTTAGCTATACTTTCTTTGTTCTTGCATGTTTCCCACCTACTCTTGTCTTTGTCTTTCTTCTCTATCACTATCATAAGAAAGGCCATTTCCTTTTATTCAAAAGATTGAAATGGTGATGAGCTTTTTAAGAAATATTCCTGAGAATAATTCTATATAAAGTGCTAGATGAAGTTAGGAAGACTGAAATTCAAATCCTCCCTCAGATACTTATTAGCTCGATTTTCTGGGAAAATTTCTTAACCTGTCAACCTCAGTTAGCTCGTCTATACTATGGAGATAATTATAAGTACCTATCTTTTGGCATTATGAGGATTAAATGAGGTAATATTTGCAAAATGCTTTGTAAACCTTAAAGCAATATATAAATGCTTATTATTATTATTATTATTATTACTATGAAAGGGAAGCAGTAGTTATAAAGAGGAACATGACCTCATCAAAAATAGCCATGGTAAATGGAACACATTTCCTTTTTTTAATGCGGTTACTAAATTGGAAGATAACACCACTCTAGATATAGATTACCTGGTTTGGACAAAGCATTTGATGAAATGACTCACAGTTTTATTGTTGGTATGTATGAGGGGTGGGGAACCCTGTGGCCTTGGTATATATGGACTAGACAATAATGCAAGCAGATGGTTTCAGAACTGGTTAAATGTCTGGCTTCACAGAGGAGGTGTTAATAAATCAATGTCAATATGAAAGAGATAGTAGTGGAGAATCCCAAGGATGTGTTCCTGGCCCCGTGCTGTCTAATATTTTTATCAATGACTTGGATAAAGGCACAGACATTACACTCATCACATTTGAAGATGACATAAAGCTAATACGTTGGATAACAGAGTTGGGATCCAAAGAGCTCTTGATAGGTTAGAATATGGGGTTGAGTCTAATGAGATGAAATTCAATAGGGATAAATGGAGAGACTTACACATGAGTTCAAGAAACCAATTTCCCAAGTACAGGATGCAAGGGACATTTTAGAAAGCACCTTGGGTTGTTTTGCTTTCTCATGTTTAAGGGATTTTACTGTACTGAAAACTCAATATGAATCAGCAATGTGAGATGAAGCAAAAAGCTGATATGAACTTGGGCTGCATGAAGAAAACATAGCTTACAGAAGTAAGGGAATGACAAGCCCTTTGTCCTCTGCCCTAGTCATACCACATGTAAAGAATTGGAACACTTTGAGAAAGACTGATTATTTGGAGCATGTTCAGAGGATGGCAATAAAGATAGTGAAGGGCCTTGAGTACATGCCATATGAGGGTCATTTAAAGGCATTCAGGATGTCAGTCCTGGACCAGTAAGGACTCTCAGGAAGCGTAAGCACTGTTTTCCAGTGTTGGAAGGCCTTTCATATGAAAGAGAGGCCAGTCTTGTTCAGCTGCTTGGTCCCAGAAGGCAAATCCAGGAGATATGGTTGTTAAGTTCAGAAGGCTGTATGGCATGAAGGAGAGAGCTCTGGGCTCAACTGAGTATCTGTATAATGCTGGTCAAATCACTTAATCTTTCTGAGCCTCAGTTTTCTGTTCTATAAAAAGAACATGTTGAACTAAATAAACCTATGAGGTTCCTTCTAGCAGCTCCATATTTCTGATCCTTTAACTCTGCAATCCAAAAGGCAAATACAGACTTGATGTCGGAAGCAGGGGTGAAGTGGTTAGCTTCTTAACATTTCCAGAAGTCCCAAACTGGAATGGGCAGCCCTGAATCAGGGTTCCTCTTCATTGGAGATGCTCCAGCAAAGACTGGATATCTACTTGTTTTATATGTTATAAAGATGATTCCTTTCATGTGTGTGTTGGCTGGGTTGACTATGGAGATCCCTTCTCATTCTAATTATGAGATTCTCTATCTTGATGTTATTACGCTATTATGAGTAGTGGCATGATAAATAGCTTAAAATATGTTACTTGATTTTTTTTTTTGATATACCTAAGTCACATGAGGCAACATTATGTGACAAGTAGTAGTCAAGAAAACCTGGGTTCAATTCCTGACTCATATATTTACTAGCTCTGGGACCCTGGGCCAGTGATTTACCTTCTATAGGCCTCAGTTTCGTCAACTGTACAAGGAGGGGGTTATGTCCTCCAAAATTTCGTCCAATTCTAAATCTGTAATCCTGTGACTGTTTTCCTTTACTTACATTAGGTAAGATAGGTCAAAAGCCAGAGAGAAATGTTTTGGATGCATATATGTGATCCACTTTCCCCCGCCATCCCTCTTATCTTCCCTCCTTGCCCTTTTTCTTCTCTCACCTGTCTACGCAGGTCTCTGGTCTTTTTGCACATGTTATCTATTGCGATATTCAGGGCATTGCTCCTTTCCTTTTTCCCAGCCTGTAAGAAAACATAAGATGAAAAACTGTCATCAGAAACCGAATCTAATTACCTTGTTGTTAGCAATTTTCCTTCCCCCATCCCTGCCCATCCCTAGCAAATAACACCTTGGCATTGCAACCTACTAACATGTTGCATAAGATATATGAACATCTTGCTTAAAAGAAGTAGAATCATGATTAATAGCCACATTGGTTTGTCCTTTGAGAGGCCATGGCGTGGCTGCAACAGTGCCGGGGTCCATTCAGCGAGGCATCACACCAAACAGACTCTGTAGAAAATGCTATTGCATGGCTCCCAGCATGCCAGCTTGTTACCCGCTAAGCCGAGCAATTAGCTTAAAAGCACCAGAGGCCCAATTTGTCACCTTCTGTGGGAGTTTCTGAAAGGAGGAATTTTAATCGGGCATTGCCCAATGGATGGCGAGACATATTGGAGCTTTGTTGAACACCCAAGTAAAATACGCATGGATATGGCTGACAAGATTCCAAGAACAAATTGTTTCCAGGGATAACATAAAGCAGTCTGTGGGCTTCTCCAGACAACCTGAAGGCCACCTTTGCCCTCTGCTTCTGTGGCAATAGGCCTCAACAAGGATTTTTAAGGGCTGAGTTTGAATTCTGCCTTTGCCATTTGCTAGCTAAGGGACTCTAGATAAAAATTCCTTCCTCTGTGCCATACCTCATCTGAAAAAAATAAATGAAGGAATTTTATGGCATAGCTTTGGAAACACCTTTCTATTCTAAATCCAAATGAAGCCAAAAAAATCATTAAGTAAGAGTCTAAAAGTGCTAGGTACCATTCTAAAAGTTCAGGAAACAAATAGGAAAAAAAAAATGAAAATAGGTCCTGCCTATTCTAATGCAATGGAAAGGGAGGGGGCACTGTTCTAGTCCTTCATATGGACTATAGTTATCTGTTCTACAGTAAGGGGATTCAGAGTGAGGCATCCCCCACAATCTAGAAAATCTGCATAAAATCTTTTGGCCCTCCTTTCATGCCAAAGAATTCTGAATTATTATGGTATTAAAAGATAAAATATGTTGATCTTATACACTACTATACGGATGCTTTATGCATTTCTGAGTTTCTAAACTTTTTTGGCATCATCTGCTGGCCTTTGTGTGTCTTCTGCAAGCTTCTGCAAAACTCTCCCAAAATTCTCATTTAGGTTCTTATGTCAACCCATGTTATCTCGAAACTCCAGTATGGAAAGTCATGATGTGAAAGGGATAACTGTGTTTGTGCCCAACCTGTGGTAGTTTTCTGAGCTCGTACTGGTCTGATCACCTACAGCAGACACACTCTACTTTGACCCCAACATAGTGATGTCATTTTGGTACTGTCTGCAAACAAAGGACAACAACCAAATGCTGATTGATTTCCAACATCTTCAGTCTCTAAATGTTTGACGATACCCTCTGCAATCAGAAGTTTGTTAGGCTGCTTGTTGCTTTCTCTCATTTCATTATTAATTTAAATCCTGAAGCATGAAAAGGGAGAATGATCTTGGTCAGTAATGTGTGTGTATGTTTGTGTGTGTGTGTGTGTGTATGTGTTTAAGTTTTGTGGGAAAATACCGAGCTGGAAGTGAGTTTTTTTCTGGTGATGTTTAGCATAAAAGAGATGGAAATGACCATCATGTGATTCACTTCTTTGAAAATGACTGCTCTTTAAATTAACAAGCTGAGAATGGTCCTTGGGAGGAGACCTTGAAAGTAAGAAAGAGAAATTTAAGGAGCCAGTAACTGTAGGAATTGACCATTGAGAGAGCATCTACTTTTTTTCAGGGAACAGGGAACATTCATTCTGGGCTCCCAGAAAAGATTTTTTTTTCTGAAAGGCTTCTGTAGTCCAGTCCCCTTATTTTACACATGTAGAAACTGAGGTTAGAGAGGTGAGGAGATTTGCTTAAGTTCACACAGCAGAGTGGAGTCAGGATTTGAATACAGTTCCTACAATGGTAAAGCTAGTGGTCTAATCCATGATACCACTGAGTTGAAGTAGAAAGCCTAAGGTCAATTTCCATCTCTTACTAGGAGCAGAGGTTTTAAAGGGTCCTCAGAGGTAATCTAGTCTAACCTTATTAACAGATGAGTACATATAGAGAGAATCAGAAAGAGTGATCACCTAAGGTCACACAGATCATAAGGACCAAAGCCAGGATTTGAACCTAGGTTCTCTAACTCAAGTTCATTTCTCTTTTTGTTGTATCACTTGTGATAAATGACTCAATTTTCAACTGATTTCAGCTCCCTACCTCAGTTTTATCATCAATTTTATGAGTGGGGTGGTAGAAGAGATGACATTCATGGGTCTCTAGCTCAAAATCCTATGGAGGAAGGACAAAAAAGAATCATTCCTATCCCTGCCCTAGAGCATACTGTGATGCCTCAAGCATGAAGCCATTCCGAGTGGGCTACATCTTGAAGCTGGGGTTGAATATATGATTGAAGAATGAATCAGAGACAAAGGATAAAGGGAATACTCCTCTTCATTCCCCACAAGCTCTGTTCTTTGGATCCTATCATCATAATTCCTCCCTTACCACCCCCCAAAAAAGCTCATCACCAAGGGACTTATGATCACAACGAGTGGTACTCATACCTCGTCAGTCTCCTTGTTTGCCTCTTCTTCTCTAACTGGGGGACTGGAAGGTGGACCAAGAGACCTACTCCTCAAATCTCTACTTAAAGAGGGCTCAGAAGTCCATCCAACTCTTCACTTCCTACTGGAATATAGTCTTTGAAATCAACTCATTATCATCATGGCCCTGTACTGGCTACCTCCTCCCCACCCAGCCTTCTCCAGCTTCTTTTTCTGTATTGTCCATCCCTGCACCCATACACTCAGCACAGTACCTAGAACATAGCAGGCACTTGACAAATGTTTATTGTATGTATTGTAAGATTGCATTAAGCTAGGTGGTGCAGTGGGTAGAATGCCAGGCCTGAAGTCAGGAATACCTGAGTTCAAATTGAGCCTTAGACATTTACTAGCTGTGTGACCCTGGGCAAGTTATTTAACCCTATTTGCCTCAGTTTCCTCATCTGTAAAATGAGCTGGAGAAAGAAATGGCACAACCACTCTAGTGCCTCTGCCAAGAAAATTCCTAAAAGGGGTGACAAAAAGTTGGACATGACTGTATAACAACTAAATCAGGACCATAGGGGACCCCAAAGCATAAGGTCTTTCTAAAATGAGGTCATAGGATAATATACTTAAATTGTGAAGGTATTTTAGGGGTGTTTTAGTATAACCCTTATCATTTATAGCTGAAGAAAATGAGTTTGCACAGGGAGTCAGTAACAGAGGTGGGATTCAAACTGAGGTCTTCTAGTTCAAAATCCAATGTTTTTCTGCTTTGTCAAGGTCCCTGTGCAGAAGACTCAATTAAATTACGTGCCCTATCACTGAAAGACCACTTTCCTCATAGAATAGATGGCATGATAGAGGAGAAAAAGCTGCTGTTCTTGGCATCAACAGAGTTCTCATTTTAAATTCCATTTCTAATGGCTACTATTTGTGTGACCCTAAATAAGTCATGGTACTTTGCTAGGCCTCAGTCTCCTGATCTGTTAAAAAAGAAGTCTACAATTCTCAATGCCACCCTTACTTACAGGTCTGTTGGAAACAAAGCCCTTTGTATGAAAGGGATAAGTGAGTAAACCTGTGAGAGTACAGATGAGAGGGGTCATCAGTGGGCAGCCTCTGTCAGAAGCTGTCAGAAACATTTCAGTGAAGTCTCTGATGCACAGGTCTACAATTACTGATGCCAGTTTAATGCTACTCCTTCAGAAATTAAGTGAATATTCTTTAGGATTATAGATTTAGAGATGGAAAGGACCTTAGAGGTCATTGGTTGCAATACCCTCATTTTCCAGCTAAGGAAACTGAGACCCATAGAGGTAAAGTTACTTTCCCAAGGTCACACTGGTAATGAGAATTAAGGCAAGATTCCAACCCAAAACTTCTGACTCTTAAGACCGCTGCCATACACATTATACCATATTACCTCTGCTCTTCATTCTAGTCCTATCCCCTTCTTCCCAAAGCAGGGATAAAAGAATGAAGGGCAGCCTGCAAAGGAGCACAAAGAGCCCTCAGGGTCACAAGCACACCTAGCAATTGCACAGAAGAAATTTATGGCAGTCCTTCCAACCCTCCTGTTTTTAGCACACTTGGTATCTTCTGCCCTGGGATTCATCAATACTGTTAAAAGATGGCAGTGATATTAGTAGGTGGCATTGGTGACATGAGGGTGGCAACATGAAAAGATTTAATAAAGGCTATAGAGCTTATTTCCTGGTTTGTATATCAGGGCTTAGCCTGGGTCTGAGGCTTTTGAGGGTTGGGGAACATTTTCATTTTAAACATTGGCTCCCCACCGGGACTCCTTTGTTTCTTCCTTCCTAGATCCCTCCTCTTCTCATTCAGCATTTAGATTTCTGTCCTTTGCTTTTTTCTCTACTTGGTATGTTCAGAATTTGGTTGCCAGGTCACCCTCCCCTTCATTTGCATAACATAAAACTAAACACCATACACAGGAAACACATTGGCTCAGAGTCAGAGGACCAAGGCCCAAATCTGTCCTCCAACACTTATTACTCATGTGACCATAGGCAAGTCGGCCTCAGTTTCCTCAAGGATCTATCAATAGAGCAGCATTGATTAAAAACTACCACATACCAAAATGGGTAGTGCCAAAGGTCCCTTCCAGCTCAAGATTTTTCAGCCTATAATGCAATTCAATTCAATCCTCATTTATTAAGCCCCATTTGATGCTGGGTGCTAAGGATACAAAGAAAAAGGGAACAGCCCTTGCCCTTAGGAGGCTTACAATCAAATGAACTGGAATGACAGGGGAAATAGTCATTTACATGAAATTGTCCAACATTTAATAGCTAGTATTCGTTTACAAAGCATTTTTTCATTTACAAATTGTTTTCCATGTTATCTCATTTGATTCTCAGGATATTTATGTGAGGTAGGAGCTATTG